ACTGACCCTTAAAGCGGGCTAAAAGGTACACTCTGCTTTCTGAGGAACACAATCAAGAGCGATATTTTTAGACACATCTGAAAACCATGCTTGCTTTCTAACTCTTGATTATTTTCCTTTTGTTAGGGTTATGAATATGAAAGTAATCTGAGGTCTTTATCTTTTAAGACACTGTCCTTTAATCCAACACCTAGATCCCAGACTAGGCACATTTTACTAAAATAGGATTTCGGATAGCATTACAGGAAAGAATAGCAGAGCAGAGGTGCTCTGATAACTCTTCTTTATCTCCAGAAGGGATGCCATCTATTTTATTACAAAGTGCTGGCCTTTCTCCAGTTTAGTTTGGTAAAGGATACGGGTAACACAAGTATGCACATACATGTTAGTTTGACGAGACCTCTGAACAGGACCAAAAGATGTCTGCCATTCAACTTCATAGGCAGACAGCTATTATATGTTAAAGTTACCTTTTTGTGCTCTGCTTGCCCATCCCTAACTGGTTCCATTCATTAGTGCAAGGATACAAGCCTTAACGGCAAATGTTAAAAAAGACAAAGCTGTTTCACAGAAGAGGAAGAGCCTTTTCTGAAGTTGAATATCACATAATGGGTATTTAAATCTGAGGTTAGCTCTAATTTGCAGGTAAAATAAAGAATGCCAATTCCACAATAAGGCATTCACATTTTACCTGTGTGGTTACAAGACTGTATACCCAGATCCTAGTAAGATTGCTTTTCCAACCTTAGTACAAATTATAAATAATGATTCTTTGCAGAGCAGAAAATTCCTGAGGAACCACAAGGGAATTTCTCAGCATATAGCTTTCTAGTAATAAAAGTAAGTCTAGTTTTCTTATATTGAAACCAGAAATAAAGTAAATACATAAAAACATTTGAGCGGCTAAAGAGCTGACTTGTTCAGTTATCACCTACAGGAATAAGTCCTCACAAAATTTATATCATGCTGATTAGCATTCCACAAGTGGATCTTTTCCATCACGCACTAGCAAATCAATTGTTTTCACATTTGCTTGTAGCTCGTATTTCCCCAAAGGATCTCAGCGATCATATTGTTTTTCCATTTTCCAGTGTAGTCTCTGACCTTTTCCCTCAAGGCCTTGCACAATTCATTTTAGTCAATCACTTCTTATTGATTGTTAGCGCTTGCTCATTCCCCATCTATCTTTGCTTTATTGGATATAGTTTGTTTTATTTTGGGTTTTTTTGTATGTCTTGTCATCCACTCGCTGCTCTTTCCACCCTTGTTGCTTTAGAGTTCTCATTTAGCTTTATACTTCTGATCTGTTCAACTTTCATTCCAGTTTGAGTCTAAATTCCATCTCCTCTCAGCTTATCCTTTCTCTTGTACAGTAGCTGTATATTCAAAACAAACTTTAGCTTTCAGCATGCCAGTCTTTACTTAAGACCTTACATAAAATGCTATTCTTTTGTGAATTTACAGGGTTCTAGCAAAAATCTTTTCTTGGTTTATAATTTCTCATGACACTTCTGTTTTGGTGTCATACACACAATTTAGCACTACATACACTTCCTTCTTATTAGGGAGAAGCAAAGAGAAAGTCCCTGGAAACATTTTTTCACAATTCATCTAAAGCCAAATCCTGTCAGGTTACATGAAGATTCACTTAATTTCTGCGGAGCACAAACACTAGTTCATTTCCTGCTGCCATCTTACCTTTCTCAGCTTCATAAAGACTGACATGCTGAATCTTGGAAACAAAGAATTTCATTTCTTGGGGTACTTTTCTCTCCAAAGATTTGCAGTGATACCAGATAGCTGGTCCCTGTTGCACCACCACAGAAGAAATGTTGAACATGTACCTCCTTACACTCATTCCGGAGTCAGTCTTAACCCCATATACAGGATACAATTATTGGGAATCCCTCTTTCCTAGTTGGCACTTTCACTCATCACAGCATTTGAGAATCAATTTTGTCCTCTTACAATAACTAGATACCATTAACCAGCAGAAGCTACGTACAGTCAGTGCTATCAAGATGACTGCCAAGAACTGACCAACAAATGTGGTCCAGGCAACTTCAGCACAGATTTCAAGTGAAATTTTTGCTTTTAATGCAGGACTTTCTTAGCTGGAAAATCCTTAATTCGCTTTATTACAACATCAACCATGCAGCAGATGTGAAACTTGGACTTAAAGCTGGTTTTCAAATCTCCATATAAAATCAGAAAAGGATTCATTTAAAAAGAGTCAGGGTTTAAAGCTTGGAGGAACATCTGTCCAGTCCTTCCTTTTCTTGGGATTCTGTTTTCCCCGACCATTCCCTCTTTTACGGCCTCATTTTTTGGACAACACAATCATGAATGAAAGGAACATGATAGCTTATTGAGCATCTGGACGATGAACCAGTACTGACAAAAAGCCTTCTTTATACCAACAAATTTATTCAATGCACTCACCCATGGCACACTCAACACAGGACAAAAAGAGACATCCTTAGAAAACTTGACAATAGGTCTGTAGGGATAAAACAGTTCAGCTTTACAGCAGCTTTCTGCTTGAGATCACACCAGTACACCAAGATGACAAGAGAGTCACAAACAGTCCTTACTGGAAAGGAGAGGGGACTAATAGGAGATTTAGTAGAGGCAAAGAGTTGGTGCTAAGTACTCCCTTCTACACCATACACATTTCAAAGGGGCATATTCCCAACTAATTCTGGTCTGGACCTGTAGAATGGTCATCTTTTAGTGTCTGAGGTACATGCAGTGAGCTCCCTGAGTGCACTTTCCATTCTAGTTTTATCTGAAGAGAATCCAATCCACACGCTCCAAGACTGTTCCGCATTGTGAACCAACGCATGGTAAGTAGGAATGACTGGAGTATTTAAAAGCACACAGGTTGATGCTCGTGTCTTGAAATTAACTGAAGAAGCTAAAGTTCTAAAATTCATACATCACTGACGTATATTGAATTCGTGCCAGTAAGGAAAAGACAGGAAGCTTGCAGCATCCTTCTGCCCTTACACCTTGCCAGCAAAATAGACCTCAGAGTTGGTAACCTCAGAGTCCAGCTGCACAGAACTCCTATGCCAGAAATTGGGGGTTGGACTAGATGACCCACAGAGGTCCCTTCCAACCCCGAACATTCTGTGACTCTGTGATTCTGTGAATTCCAAAATAACTTACTTGGCCTTTTCCATCAGTCAGCTTGCTGGTGCTGTTAAACCAATCACTTCACCACAGTGTCAACCCAGATATAAACTTGTTTTAGTAAAAAACAGGGATAGGAGACATGTTATGTGTCTCTTTACTAACAGCAAATGGAGATTTTGCATGTCTGTTTTCCCTACTAAGTCTCTTTATGGGCTTTCACAAATATAAATAAACCAGAATGGCAAACGTCAACAGGTGCTGAAGTCAGAATGCAGGGCTTCTCCCAGCCACTGGCTGCCAATGAATGATAGTGCAAATGTAATGCGAGTAGGACTGATCTATCTGAAATTTCAAATCAGCTCTCTCTTTACTACAAACAAAACTCCTCATGCTGGGAAAAGAAAAGGAAAGCTCTCCACATCTTCCTTTTTCTCTACTCTGAAATGAAAGGAAAGGTGCAATCCAGGAGGTTCCTACAGAGCATCGATGATAACTTTCTGATGCAAGTGGTGGAGGAACCAACAAGGAAAGGCGCGCTGCTGGACCTTGTGTTAACAAACAAGGAGGGACTGGTGGAGGACGTGAAGGTTGGAGGTAGACTCGGCTGCAGTGACCATGAAATGGTCGAGTTCAGGATCCTGCGTGGAGGAAGCAGGGCGATAAGCAGGATCAAAACCCTGGACCTCAGGAGGGCTGACTTTGCCCTCTTCAAGGAGCTACTGGGAGGAATCCCGTGGGCCAGGGCTCTCAAAGGCAGGGGGGTCCATGAGTGCTGGTCGCTTTTTAAACAACACTTCTTCCATGCACAGGAGCAATGCATCCCCCTGAGAAAGAAATTTAGCAAAGGAGGAAGGAGACCTGCATGGTTAAACAAGGAGCTTCTAGCGGAGATCAGGCAGAAGAGAAAGGTGCATGGCATGTGGAAAGAGGGACAGGCCACTTGGGAAGAGTACAGAAACGTAGTGAGAGCATGCAGGGATGCGACGAGGAAGGCCAAGGCTCACCTGGAATTGAAGCTGGCAAGGGATGTCAAAAACAACAAGAAGGGCTTCTTCAACTACATCAGCAGCAAAAGGAAGGCTAGGGACAACGTGGGGCCGCTGCTGAATGAGGCGGGTGTCCTGGTGACGGAGGATGCGGAGAAGGCAGAGCTAATGAATGCCTTCGTTGCTTCAGTCTTCAGTGCTAAGACTGGCCCTCAGGAATCCCAGGCCCCGGAGGTAAGAGAGGAAGCCTACAGAGAGGACGACTTTCCCTTGGTCGAGGAGGACTGTGTGAGGGATCGCTTAAGCGATCTGGATGTCCACAAATCCATGGGCCCCGATGGAATGCACCCACGAGTGCTGAGGGAGCTGGCGGATGTCATTGCTGAGCCACTCTCCATCATCTTTGAGAGGTCCTGGAGGACAGGAGAGGTGCCCGAGGACTGGAGAAAGGCCAATGTCACTCCAATCTTCAAAAAGGGCAAGAAGGAGGACCCAGGGAACTACAGGCCACTAAGCCTCACCTCCGTCCCGGGAAAGGTGATGGAGCAGCTTATCCTGGAGGCCATCATCAAGCAAGTGGAAGAAAAGAAGGTTATCAGGAGTAGTCAGCATGGATTCACCAAGTGCTTCGGCGGGGGGGTTGGACTAGATGACCCACAGAGGTCCCTTCCAACCCCTACTATTCTGTGATTCTGTGATTCTGTGATTCTGTGAAAAAGGAAACACCCCTGTTGAATCTCCTCCCCTTTTCACATTCCTTACCAGAATGTGTGGGTATAGATGTGTGTGTGGACCTGACAAGATGTAAGAAGACAAATTTAATTTTCTGAAGCACACTAGCTTTATTTGAATAAATGCAAGGGGAATTCAACTCACCGTCTGCAAGAACTGCTTCATAGATATAAGACAAAGAGTCTCCAGGATTTTCATTCTGTGGCTTACCTAGGAAAAAAGAATAATTCTTTAATGTTATCTACTTGGAAATACAGTTAAATGGTCATGAACTCTGATGACAGTGATCATTGCTATCCTACTAGATTGTTTCACAGAATGTTTAGTTTTCTCTAAGGAAGATCTTAGCACCAGAAATGAAGCTGGGGAAAAAAAAAAGAAAAAAAATTTGCAAAATAAAACAGAGTTAAGAAAACAAAAGGACGAGCAACCTAAAATGTCAGAAATAAGGAAATACCATGACACCAATTTCCACTTTCTTTTTTTAGATTAAATTCTGTCTGTTATTTTAGATGTAAGATAAAGATATTTTAAAGCTACAGTTCTGCAGGTTGGAAAAAAGATTAAAAAAAAATAAATCCAAGGGCTAGTGGAGAGGAACAAGCCTAGAGAGATCTTTACATGAAATTGTAATTATCCCTTTTCAGTAAACAACCCCATGACTGATCTTTGCTATTTACTATAGCAGGTAAGAAATGTGGGCTTGAGGAACAAAAGAATTTTCCCTGAAAGTCAATACGGCAAACAATGGGAGAGGAGTTGGGTAAAAGAAAGAGAATAGAATCTTGTGCAGGAAAGTGAGAAACTGAAAATGGATGCAGGCATTGGGGTTTGGAAGAAGAGACAACTACGCAGGGCTATGTTTCATGTACAATAAATCTGACTACAGAGTTCCCAGCATTGGATCAAAAAAGCAATGGCCACACTATGTAAAGTACTGGTCAAATATTAAAAAACTCTTTCAGTTCCAGTTTGTTGAAATTATTTTTGATGGCTTAATAACTACCAGGGCACTTTCTGCCACATTATGCAGTATCTGTCTATGCCACTCTTTATGCTGGATCAAGTTACCACCTTTTTTTCCATATCTGAGATACCATGGACATAAGAGATATAAGGCCTGCTTGAGCTCCATATTGTGAGATCCAGGCAACTCAACAAACATCTGTTGCACAGCATCTGTAGGATGCTAATCAGAATCCCATGTACATTGCTGGGTGCTCCAGAATTGATAACCAAGATTTCTATCAGGAACTAAGACTGAAGAGTAAGAGACACTGGGTAAAGATGCCAAGGCTAAGATGAGAAAAGCAGCCTGGGAAAGCAATTGTTTTACATTGACTTTATTAAGGTTGCATAAAACCAAACACTCAAAAGCAGTCTTTCTCCTTTGTAGTATATTATTGACTATTTCTTTTAAATTCATCTATACTGTGTACAATGCACAAATTAGGCCTACTCTGGCATTGACTAGTGGTTTTGTACTTAAAGAAGTGTACTGTACTGATTCAGTTATTCTTGCAATAACAAGAGTCCAGTGAATGAGGAGATGATTCCAGTGAGAGAAAGGACAGTGATATTAGCCGAATGCTGCTCTAGAGAATTTAGGTAATTTCTGGTTCCCATCCTGAAGTTTTGAGGCAAAAAGCTATATGGCCTTTAAAACATGCTTTTCAGAAGTGCTCATTAGTTTTTCATGGCACCTTCCGTGAAAGACCTTACAGATAACCTGCAGACATGTGAGCAGTCACAAACACAACTGAAATTAAAGGGAGTTTGCATGTGGACATAAAAAATACTGTATACTGGTAAGTGTTATGAAAAGTAATATCTTCAAGTGATATCAGAAGCAGAAGAAATGCTTGCACCCTAATCCTGCTAAATACCATGCGGAAAATGATGATAAAATAAAATAAAGTTTGGACAGCATTCAATACAGAAAGAAGTTCTACAGAAAAGCACGTCAGGAAATTAACAATTCTGTTTTCTCAACAGGATTTGAATGGCATTCAATACATAAATAATGCAACCGCAAACTCAAACACAAAACAAAGTATCAAATAACTGCTAATTAACTGAGTACTATTCATCCTGTGTACTAATAAGGGCAGGTTCTTGGCGGGGGTGGTAGGGGGAGAATGCACTTACATAATTAAAGGCAATCAATGCATATGAACAAGGGTCCTAACTGAAGTTTAATAGGCTACTTTGTACCGGTAACTTTTTGACTTTTGAACACCTAACTTTGTAACTGTAATAACATTTTCTGGACCAAGTTCTGTCCTCATAACCATCTAAGTAAGTACAGAGAAACCCTACCAAGAGAAATATCTGATTCTATACAAAACAAGGTTATTCTTTTGCTATCCTAATATTCATATTTTTTTTCCACTATGAACTTAAATAGGTGCTACACCTCATTTTTTCAGGGCTAGGTATCACAATTTTTTTAAATCTGGAAAACAACACAATTCTTATTTTATTCTATTTCCAAGAAGCTGACACTAACTTAACAGAAATACATCACGGTGAAATTACAAACAGCAATTTCGTTATAACAACACCTGTGTGCCAAAAATTATACAGCAAATGCATTTCCAGAGGACTTCCAATGACCTTTTGGTAATTGTGATTGGTAACCACACTGCAAAACCCAATGAGAGTCAATAATACATTATGTGAAGGACATGTAAGACTACAGATTCACATGGCCATTTTACAGTTCTAGCTGCTGGAAATCTTAAATTATTGGTAAGCTTTAGAAATAGCATCACGACTGTAACTACATACTGACTGATGACTGTTGTGCCATAAACCAGGCATAAATTTGGATGGTGTCCACCTGCAACCTTGAAAGAGCAGACAAATCATGATAAAACCATTGATTAATTTTAAAATAAAAAAATTTATAACCTAAACAATACAATCACAGTACATTAATTTAAATTAGTACATGCTGTTGCATTAATGCTTATGTTCTAGTCATTTGACTTTTATTATTAATGAAACTCTTTGTGAGCGTGTCCTAAATGCTGTTAAAAAACATTCACTTCAATATGTCAGTGCATTCACTTCTCCAGGTGTAAGCAGTTTTCATCCAATTAGTGCCAAAAATAAGAGGAAAAAACATCACATACATGATGCATACTTCAGAATCCAAGGGTACAGGTCACCATGACTGGCTAGACAGATTGAAACATGAGCTGCTAAGAAAGCTGGTTACATAACAAATTATGTCTTCTCTGGATGTTTTAGAAATAAGAGAAAAAAGAACAAAGAACTCAAACAGTTTAAGCAGCAAGGGATGGCAGTCTCAACATCCTAGCTATGGTTGCCATCTCCAGGCTGCCACTTCAGTTTCTCTTCTGATTTGAAATAGCCAGGATCACATGCCAAATGAAACAAGTTAGCGACACTAACCATAGTTTTTTGTTGACATTCATCCCCGTTACAAATCCCCATCACTGCACTGGCATCCCAGTAATCATTCTGTGTGGAGATGGAGAAACACAACATCTCAGGAAGATTTATTAATCTGGTAATTTTAGCAGCAATCCCTGCAGAGTAGTTCAAAGACTAATTGGCAGGGCAAAATGGAAATGAGGATTATACTGTAGCACACTTCAGCTAACAAAATGCCCCTCTCGCTCTGCTGCTTACAAATTCATACAGATTATTTTCATTTTAATAAAAAAGTTTAATTGGCATTTGAGGTGCTCCTCAATAAGCAGATGACCTCACTGCCTTAAAGCACCAACAGTGGTATGCACTGTCTGAACATAAATACATCGGGGAATGAGGAAAGCAAGGCACGACTGTGTGGTCTCATGTGCTGCAACATCCCCTGCCAGTCAATGACGCCAGAACAACCTACCTACTTTTCTCTATTTACTCAATCTTGTGCGTCCATGTGAGATATCTTTATAACCAAGGCTTCAGCTCATACACACACAAAACCACGCTGTATTCAGTATTCACAAACAAAAAAACCCCAAAATTCTAGTGATTTTGTTTCCTCTTCAACTTTGGTTCTTCTTAGCACTTTAGCTTTATTTTTTCGTAGACTCCAAGTCAGTGTCAAAATCTAGCTGAAACACTTGCCCGTTGAAGACAAGGCAAAAGTTCCCTCTTAAATTAAGGGGTTTAGTTCATCAGTACACGTCTTGCTGACAGCCTAAGAAAATCCATCATCATTAGTTACTCATATTTGAGTACCAACGTGAAGAGGATTTTACAGGAGAACAAGCAAAGCAGTGCATTCAAAATGTGAAGTATTACTTCAGTGTTTAACATTATATCCAAATTCCCTGTACAATTCCAATAAAATTTATGCCACTGTACTAGAAACACAACAGGAGAGAGACACCATAAAAGCTTATCATAAAAATATAGATTTATTTATCTTTTCTGTGACCTGCACAATGGAAATTAGCCCCATATTTGAAGTAGGCTGAAGATTTACATACATTAAGCCCTATGTTTAAGCTCCCAGCCTCTTTTTCCTGCATTTACTTGCTACAGACAAATACCCAATGCTAGTATCTCATTACTCCAGGTCTATATCTTACTAGCAGTTGCAAAAGTAGTTCTCTTAACATTACTGTTCTTAGTGATTAAAATTGTGTGCAGGTACACCAAATACTCTTTAGGTAACAATCAGAAATTAATGGCATGATGCTGTCTCAGGTGAAAGTTGCATATTCATTCTGAGAATCTTTCCTGGGCTGTCAAAGTCTGTGGATATAGTTTTCTAGTTGGGTTATGTTATTCTATGTACCTCTTCTCACTTTTCAGTACAATAGCAGATAATGAATGGATATGCTTCGGCAGGAAGGTTGGACTAGACCCACAGAGGTCCCTTTCAACCCCTATCATTCTGTGATTCTGTGATTCTATGAGTAGGTTTGTTGAGTGGTTCTCAACTATCAGATTCTATAGAAGTAGATTCTCTTCATATTTGGCAAAAAAAGAGGACACCACTGCTTAGAGAAAAGGCTGGAAGTGACAAGAGTTGTTTTATTGAGCTGTAAACAATCAAACCTAATAAAACAGCAAGCAGACTAATGGATACTTACGACTTCTGAACTGTGAAGTCACACCAAAAAGTCTCATAAAGCATCAGTACACTTCAGAAACAGTGTCACAGAAAATTATTTGTGTTAGATAAGATCTGCTGTCTTTTTGCATCATCAGTACAGAGTCACAAATAACAACAGGAGGAATTCATGACATTTACAGATCTAAGTAACTACCTCCAGCTGCAGGCAACTATCTATCTACATTTACAAATCCTTTGCTTACACATATAGCTAGCCTGAACTTGAAGTGGAAGTGTTTCAGGACCAAACAAAAAACCAAGCTACACATGTCTAGGCTAAAAACCCCCAGGGTACTGAATTAATACACTGCAAGTATGTCAATTCAATACAAAAAGGGGTACACAGTTCAGCAGACCAAGGAGAAGTGTAGAACAAAAAAGCAAAAGGAAAATAGATGCAAACAAAACGTGTCTCCTGATTCTACTTCCTGCAGTATTTGGGAAAAGTGTCCAAGAAAAGTCAGAATTCTAGAGTCACACTGGGTCATCTTAGACGTTAACACAGAATAATCACATTTCTGAGTGTTCTACTCTTT